AGGCTCCAACGGACCAATACATTAAAGGGGTGATTGGCTTGATTTATGGGATTGAATAAATTTGGGATCTGCAGGATATTGGCTTCCCATCGATGTTTGGAACTTACCCATCGCTGGTAAGCCAATTTTCCTTCAGTTTTGAAGCCAACGGTTACCTACCCATCGATGGGTAGATGCTTCCCATCGCTGGGTGGGAGGTTGACTTTCAAATAAGGAAAGAATCAGCCTTAAATGACTCGCAACGGTCATGCCTAACCATCGATGGTTAAGCCTTCCCATCGCTGGGTTCCCATCGATGGGTAAAGCTTCCCATCGCTGGGTAAGGGCATTCTGCCTTGTGGTAATGTTGCACCAAGGCTTTAACAGCGATGGGTAGAACTTCCCATCGCTGTTTGGCATGGTTCTGGAAATCAGTTTCGTTGAGGGACTGCTTACCCATCGATGGGAAGATCTTCCCATCGCTGGGTGGCATGATTCTGGAATCCCGGGATCACTTACCCATGCATGGGTGAAATCTACCATCGCTGGGTAGATGGCTAGCCCAGAACCATGGCCTAGCTGACCGGCGCTGAAACCCGACCGAAATATGCAAAGTTCTCCAAAGTAAAAACTAAGTATATAAAACACTTATTTAATGTATTTTGATGTCAAAACAAGCTTTGTAAGTTGAAAACCACGTCGTTAAGGTAAAAACCACGGTTGACCAAGTCAACACCGTACACGGGTGGTTTTCACCAAAAGACAAAATCGAAAGGTGGTTTTCATGATGTTTTGATTGGAGAACCATTTAAATTCATTCAAAAACAATTCCCACACAAAAAGACTCGAAAACCACTTCATTTAAGTAAAAACCACGGCTAGCTAAGTTAATACCGTTTCACATGATTTTTATCAAACGACAAAAAACGAAAGATGGTTTTTGAAGTGTTTTTGATGAAAAACTATTTAGATATGCCCAGAAGTAAAAACCTGTCATAAAAAGTTGAAAACCATTTGGTTAGTTCGGACCCCAAAAACCAACGCCGAAAACCGAATGCCGAATGCCGGTTTCTGAAACCCGAACACCGGATGGCTTGGTTTTTGGTTTGGGCGAACACCAAGTGTTTTTAATGTTTTATACATCTTTGAAAAACATTTTTATGATGTGTGAAATGCATTGAAAAGAATTTTAGCCTAAAGAGCCAAGTTGTAAAGATTGGGTCGGTCTTGATCACAATAAAGACCGACTCAACGATGCTAAGACTAAGGTCTTCGTTCTTGGTCTTCGTTTGGCTCTTGTTCTCTTTTTTATCATCTTTGGTTCTCGCCTTGTATATTCAATGACTTGTCTCGTTCACGGCGGTTTGGCATTATCAAAACCTGTCATAACAACGAACACGGCTTTAGTACGAAAACGTGATAAACCCGTGTTTCAGCATTATTAAACTTTCCCAATTTGCTCTTTAAAGTAGCAATCTTAGCCTTAAATGAAGTGTAACTAGAGCATGTAGTAGATGAACAAGATGGTGATGTTTCTGGCCTTTTTCCAAGAGAAATAATTTCTTGTTTAAGTTGATCATTTGTATTTTTGAGGTCTTTAATATCAATTTCAAAAATCAGGATTTTTTGTTTAACTTCTTTATTTTCTTTTGAGGCCTTCTTAAACATTCCTACAAGTGCTTCTACAATGCAAACAACATCATTTAAAGTTAAAGGATCATTTGAGAAAGGTTCTTGATAACTTACCTCCTTAGATGCTTCATCTTCCTCAATGGCCATGAGGCAAAGGTTGGCCATCTCCTCCGTTTCGGAGTCTTCACTCCAGGGGCCATCATTCTCCCATGAGATGTAGGCACGTTGTTTCTTCAGTGTCTTCTTGTCTTTCTCGTTCTTGAGTTTAGGACACATTGGTTTAATGTGTCCAACTTCCGATGACATTGAAAAAGGAGATTATTTTTGAAATAGCGTGAAAAGTAGGATTATTTAAGATAATTTTCCCTTATATATAATCTATGAATTATAAACAATTAGACAGGATCTTATAAAATACGCTAATAAAATAAATTAACATTTACCTAATGCGACTTACATTTAAAATAATTTATTGATTTTTCATAATCCATTGATTCTAAATAATCTATTAAAATATAAATTGAATACACCGTCTAAAACTCAAATATTGTATGATTCAAACACAACAAAACTTTATCCAGATTTTTAGAATAAGTTTATTTTCATAAAGAAATATAAATTTAATTAATACGAGTATATTTATAATTTATTAGTATTTATGTTCAAGTTTTTTGGTATAAAAGAATAAGGTCTTGCACTTCTCTCAAATACCTAACTAAGAGCCTATTTTTTAGTACTGGAAAAAAGAGTTAGATGTTGAAAGAAACTGGAAAAAGTTAGAAGAAAACTAGTTAAACTTAAAAAAACTCGAAAAAATTGAAAAAACTGTGAAAAACTTCTAAAATTTATTTATGTATATTTTACACAATATTCTTATTATTATTATCATAGTTGTTGTTGTTATAATAATTATTGTTATTATTATTAATTAGAACTCTTTGAGGATTTACATATGATCGCATAACCTTTCTTTTTTCAAATTTTGGAAGTTTGGCAATGACGACTTCACACTCAACTTCATATGTGGAATTCGTTTACATTTACCTTTATCTTGATATCCGGAACCTATATAAGGGCATATAATGTAAACAAATTTCATATGGAAGACCATCTATATCAACCGTTGTGTTAGTCGACCAGACCAATCATTCATAAACTTTGCTAAGTGATTAATTGTAGAGAGAATAACTAATATATTATAAAATTTCTGATGTGGAGAGTTCCTAGAGTAGACTTTGAGCTCCCGTTATGCTGTGCCATTGTCTGTTCTCCATTATACCCATCACTTTCACTCTAGGAGTATGACACAGAAGCATTCTTCATCCTCATTATAGAAATTCATATGTTTTTCACATCTGTGACTTTGGGGGAGCGAGTTTCAATCAACTTTTACAGATGTCGAAGAGGTGGAAGAGAGGACAGAGATCGAAAACTCACGGGTTGCATGATGAAAGAAGACATGTTTTAGGAGTGTTTTGTTAGGCAGCGTTCCGTCCATCTTCTTTTTCTGCTTATTAGTTGTTCTTATAAAAATTAAATGAGACCAGTCCACATTAGATCAGATCAGACCAGATCAGATCCAATCAGATCAGATCAGACCAGTTCAGATCAGATTAGGTCCAATCAAAGCAAATATATGCAAAATTATTATTATTATTATTATTGTTAGTACTACTATTAGTATTATTATTGTTATTATGATTATAATTATTATTAGTATTTGTTATTATTAATATTAATATTAATAATAATATTACTATTATTATTACTACTATTATTACTAATATTATTAATACTAATATTATTATGATTATAATTATTGTTACTATTGTTATTAATACTATTTCTATTATTATTACTATTATTGTTATTTCTATAATATTTTTTTTATTTCTATTATAATTATACTGTAGTAGTTATTATTATTTCTATTACTATTATTATTATGATTATAATTATTATTATTACTATTTTTATTATAATTATTAGTATTATTGTTATTACTCTACTATAAATATCATTATTACTATTATGATTATGATTTTGATTATGATTATTATGATTATTATATTTATTACTATTATTATTAAAATTTCTTTATTATTATTATTACTATTATTATTATTATTATAATTATAATAATAATTTATTTTTAATTTAAATTGAATTTATATCAGATTAGATCCAAATAGATCAGATCAGATTTAATCAGATTAGATTCAATAACATCAGATCAGAACTTCAAAAAATCAAATCAAATTAGACGATCGGAACACAACCTTGGTCTCTTCCGACGTCGTTTCGGTCATTCTCTGGTTTTTATTTTAATTTTAAAGTTGAAACTCCGTTAACACTTCATTAAATGGCTTTCGTTTTCGTTTTTTAAGAAGCACTTCTCACTTTAACACCTTGAACATTTTCTTCAATTCACATAGTCTACCAAATACGAAACCTTTAGTGGATAGTCTACCAAATACAACCTTTACAAACATTTTGATAAAAAAATTGTGCTACACTCACCTCACTTTGTACCCCAAAAGTTTACCCTTACATAATACCTCCTCCGTTTTAAAACTTTCTTCCCAAAACACTATTCCAACTTCACGGGAATTTATATTTATTTGTGTTTTTTCATGGCCTATATGATACGGAGTAAAATAAAATATTCTTGTCACCACTTGTTTTGTTGAACTTTTGATGTAATTTTTAAATATGTATGTTTTATTTTTTATTTCTATACCAATATTTAAATAAAATATATTGATTTTTTGTTCGTTTTGAGAAACTCACAAAGTTTTAGGAGGGAGTTGCAAACTTTTCGTGGTCCTCCATATCAACCATACCAAGCAAACTCCGTACTAAAATCCGCAGTACTACGGAGTACTCTATTTCAGTCTCCCTCTGCCGTGCCCGCTTCTTGTATTCTCCACCGGCAGGAGTTCGGGGTGCATATCTGCCCAGCGATCACCCAGAAACCCGGGGATGGAGGCGGTGGTGGTGGATGCTGGTTCTAAATTCCTCAAATCTGGCTTTGCCATTCCTGACCAAGCTCCGTCCATGGTATTAACTCATCCTTTATCGGCCGCTTAATTATTACGAGTATTTTTGTATAAATTTTAGGCTTCTTTTCCAAACAACGTCTGAGACGTATGTGAATTCACGAACATGAGGGTTTTAGATAATTCCAACTCAAATGAAACGCGTCCCTGAGGATGAGAGCGCCCTTGATGCGGCGGTTGAGGAGTCCACGGAGGAGGAAGCTGTGAACCCTATTGTCCGGGGGTTCGTGAAGGATTGGGATGCTATGGAAGACTTATTGCATCATGCTCTTTACACCGGCCTTGGTTGGGAAATAGGAAATGAAGGCCAAATATTGTTCACTGATCCACTTTGCACTCCCAAGGTAAACTACCCATTCCACCCAACCTCTGCCCTAGAAAAGTTTCTTTTTTTATTGCTTCCATCCCCTTCCACCTCCTCTCCCCAAAATATTTGCTTAAATTTGTTACGGAGTATTATAGATTTTAGAACTAGTGAGTTGTGGATTATGGTGTAACAAAATACTCTTTTGGATTAAAATTAGTTGTTTATGAACTGAGCAGAATGAAGGTTGAATTTTTTTTCTTTCAGATTGCAAATAAGTTCCACCTTTTTTTAAACATCATTATCTACTCACCCAAAGTTAGGCCTGAGGATTAATTTGGAGCACACAAGCACTTTGTGAAAGATTAAATCAGTTTGGACTTTAGATAACTAGTAATGTCAATATTTTAAAGCTATTACTCCCTTTGTTCCATTAAAAAAGACTTGTTTCTCAACATATTATTTGTCCCCACAAAAGAGTCCAATTTGAAAAAAAGAATTAAGTTTTATTATATGCAATGGTTTTGAAATACAAAAAGTATTTCAAACAAGTTAAATATGTTAAATTTGATTCAACCAAGAAAAATAAAGTATATTTATACTTTGTATTTGATTATTTTCAGAAGCTGTACCTTAGTATAATAAAAAAGTTGCACATCTGCAAAATATGTCTCTTTTTATGGGAATGGGGCAGTATTGTTTAAATGTTCGGAATTTTAAATTGTTTCTTTCCTGATCGACAGGCAATTAGAGAACAGTTAGTGCAGCTGATGTTTGAAACATTTAATATCTCAGGGTTTTATGCCTCTGAGCAAGCAGTGCTGTCGCTCTATGCTGTTGGGCGTATATCAGGATGCACTGTTGACATTGGTCATGGGAAAATAGGTATCAGTTGTTTATTAGTCATCAAGTATTGTTTTGGTACATCAGAAAGGACTATCATCAAGTATTTCTACTACCAAAGGTTTTACTGTTGTCTATAGCTAATCATATTTCCTATCGCGATGCATCCTTACATTCTTCTCAGATAATTGTGTGAGTATTCAGTTTGTTTTACCTCTTATCTTCCAGCGCACTTCTAATTAAGAAAGCTATAATTTTCAATGAGTTTCATAGCGTAGTACTTGTTTTAAGTAAAATACTTTCTTCCCCATGAAATATGATGTGCAATTAAATTACTCTATATAAGATACTATTTGGGAACGTAGTTAAGTTTACTTGAGTTCCTGAATAATATTAGGACATTCCAATTTCATCCTTTTTTTATGTCTCGTAAATATATTTCTTTTATAAAATGCCCCCCGTCCCAAATTGATCTTCACAGATACTATTACGGCCTCTTGATAACTTATGTTTGTATGCATGTTTTCATTGATCATTTGATAAAATAAAATATTCTTGTCACCTCTTATTTTGTAGAACTTTTGATGTAGTTTTGATCGATGTAATTTGTATTTTTTTTCTATACCAATTTGTGAATAAAATTATTTTAAAAGAGATGGGATTTTGTACGTTCTTCCAAATGGGAAGAATAAATTGGGACGGAGGGAGTATACATAAATGCAATATTTATTAGGTGCAAGCAACAAGAAAAGTTAATACATACTCCCTCCATCCCATATTTGATTACACACTTCGAACCACGTGTAGAATCCGGAGTCTTTTGAATTTATTTTATTTACAAATTGGTATACAAATAAAAAATACAACCTACATATTAAAAAACTACGTTAAAAATTCTAGACACAAGAGGTGATAAGAATATTTTATTCTATCAAATAATCAATGAAAACACACAAATAAACAAAAGTTATTGAGAAGCCAAAATAGTAACATGGTAATCAATTGTGGGACGGAGGGAGTACTATGTAGAAATAGAACAATGCCTCACAAAAAGGACCTTTGTGTAGTCATATAAAAACTCTTTAGAATAAGGTCCAGTGGAAGTATTATCTAGGCTTTTAACTGATTATTAGAGATGCACTGACATTGGTACTTCTTACTTCTTGGAGTTAATGCCAATATATTTGGAGCAAAAAATATAACCCTTTTTTTCGTTATACTTTTTAAAATTTTGTTTTTAGCGGTAGCTTATATGTGACTACATTAGTGTTTGGCATTTACCCACAGATATTGCACCAGTAATTGAAGGTGCTGTTCAGCACCTAGCTTCCAGAAGGTTGGAACTTGGTGGTGCAGATCTGACACAGTTGCTAGCAGAAAAACTCAGTATATCTAATCCAATGGTGAAATTCAAGATGTCAGATGTGGAGAAGATAAAAGAGCAATATGCATGCTGTGCAGAGGATGACATTTCGTATGATAAGATGCAACAATCTATTCTGGAAGAGGAACATATACTACCCGATGGCCAGGTTTTTTTTTTGATGATGATGATGATGATGATGATGATAATAATAATAATAATAATAATAATGATAATAATGATAATAATAATAGTAACAACAACAACAATTTTTTTGAAGGACAACAACAGCAGCAATAATAATAATTATAATTATTAATAATTAATATTACTACTAGCATAATGAATTCTACTGCATATTGTTTTGTTGTTGTTGGTGGTGATGGCGGTGGTGCTTCTACGTGTTCAATTCTTCCTGCAAAGCTCAACACTTTCTGCTTTTTATAATACATCTAGGTCAAAGTAGACTTAAAGTTAAAAATAATTTGAGTAATGTAATTAAGTTAATAATTCTCTCTAATCTTTAATGTATAATGTATAATGTGATTTGCAGATTATGTACATAAAGTAGGTATGCAGTGCTGCTTCTACTAAATGGATGACTTAAACTATCACATCCATTTCATTGGTTTAGACATTTAGTTATTGTTTTCCCTCGTGCTTGATATATTGCTGTCCACTGTATCCATGGCCATGCTATAGTTTACGCAATTGAACTGCCATTGGTTTTAAACAATGATAACATGCGCCCCCATTTATCTTTCCTTACAGAGAATCCATGTAAAGAAACCAAGGTATCGGTATCATATATGAGAATGGTAAAGAAACCAAGGTATCATATATGAAAATGGTTCAGTGGCTATTGGAAATTTGGAATTTGAGATAAAATAAGTAAGAACCGATTACGTTGCTTTGGGCACATCAACCATCGAGAAGCAAGTGTCACGGGAAGAAGATGGAGTCTTAGAATGTTGGAAACTTAATGAGGCATAATAGGCCACACATGACATGGCGTGAGGGTGTAAAAAGAGATATTAGAGTGTTGGAGTGCTGTCCCCATTGCCTAATATTCTCCTTCTGCGCCAGTATTTTTAAAGGTTTGCCATGGTGGAAGGTGGTGACAAGATCAGGGATGGAGGTGGCTTTCCAGGGCTTTCCATGCCAGCCATTTGTCTGGCAGTTAGAGCAGTTTAGGCAGAAAATGACAGAATTTTAGGGTTTGGGTTGTGGGACCCTGTACTAAAGATTTATATGTAAACATTTAGGCAATGCAACCCACTCCAGAAGGCAAACCATATAAATCCACTTTTTTAAAAGTACATTCTTCGTTGTGTCTTTGTGTCAACAACTATTTTGCACAAGCCCTCCTTTGATTCTATTCCCTGTGATCAGGCCCATGATTCTGCTTCTCTGTGTGACCCAGATGAGTCCTTTGGTTCTTCTTATTTAAAAGGTGCATTGAAAACTTTCAAAGCATTTGGTTTGAGGCATCTGTAATTGCTGGGTGTAGTTTTTCCCACCATTTCCTTAATTACTCTTGGAACTGGACTTTTTGATTTCTTGCTTGGTCCTATTTCTTCTATCAGGTTTGTTCAGACTCAAATCTTTATAGTTTTTACTTGACTCAAAATCCTTCGCTTTTAATCTTAATATTTTGTTGTGTTATTTTTACCTTCTTTGATGCATGTTGCTCTTCTTCCTTTACATGGTAACTTAATGGACCGTTATTTGAAGAAGAGCAACATGCATCAAAGAAGGTACATAAAACAGAATGAAAAAGATTAAGATTAAAAAGGAAGAATTATAAGTTACCTTTACAATTGGGGTAGGGGTAAGGCTTGCGTACACACACCCTCCCAAGACCCTACTCTCGTGGGATTCTACTAGGGTGTTGTTGTTGTAAGTTACCCATACATCATGTCTACCTATCAAGATGTCATCCAGGAAATGAAAAAGACAAACACAATCTTCATTATCTTTTGTCAAAAAATTAAAAGGGTATGAACAAGTAGATCCAAGCAACAATTAGTGAGAAATCACTAAATGTCTTAGCGAAGCTAGAGAAGAACTTTGAATATATGGGACAGAAGAAAGAAGAAGGATAACATGGATATTGGAAGTGTGAGACGTTCTGATTTTGAGTAGCAAGCATTTGATGAGAGTGATCAAGAGCTCTAATCTTTAACACCTAATAGTGATTGGAGGAGAAAGAATGCACCCTAAAAACTGGCTATTTGGTCTATTTCCAGATAACGTGAAACTGAAACTGCAATTACAAGAAGTAAAGGTTGTAACAAGGCAAACATTAGAGATGCAAATGAAAGGAAGCGAAACTAGGGGATTCATCAGTATTTTGCTTGTTTTATGGTATCTAGATTGTTTATCCTTCAACTTGATTAATTTTCATAAGTCTTGGAGATATGGGTACTGCCATTGGTGCCTATCGTTCACATTCTCTTCATAGCCATGATTGTATAAGAGCTGGAACATACTGAAAAAATATTGACAAATCATAAAGAACAGCAAATTGCAGGTTTAAAAGGTGGTTAGCAGCGAGCTGTGTGCACGGCCCAGTGAAATTGACAACTTTATCTTTCATATGAATAATGGAAAACAACTTTTTATAGCTTTCGCTGTTGTGGAATTAATTTATAACTCCCTCCGTCCCTCAATTTATGTCCACTTTCAATTTTGCACCAAAACCAATGCAAAGGGTAAAAAGTCACAAATGCCCTTTGTTTTGGGTCTTCTTCTCCACCAGCCCTTCTGCTACAATTAGTTTATGCGCCACCCATAGCAATGGCCACCGCCTTGTCTCCCCCAGTCTGACTGCAGAGGCATAGGCCCCCTCCCATCCCCACCCCCCGTCAGAGTACCCATTCCAAACTCCAACTATTTACTGCTGAGTTACTGCGACCCGAGAAACCTAGTTCCAATTTTGAATTCCCAATATGACCTGTGTCTAGCCTCCCCTTTTGACCCGGTTGCTGTTGCATAATCCCTTGCAACTCCTATCCGCCCACCGCCGCGTAGTCCATTGCTGCACAACCCATCGGATCAAATCGCTGCCAAGATATTGTTACAAGGAGATCCGAGAGATTTGCAGAAGCACATGAATACATATGCAGTAGATAAAGAAGAAGACAGTGGCATAGCTCAAAAGAAGGATTGAGGCAAGAATGCAAGATTGATTATATCTTGGTGATGAAATATATGGTTGGATGACTGGATGTAAATAAATCAATAAATATATGGATGAGAAAGAAGATAAGGCGTAAATGAGTGTTTGTGGAGAAGGGCAAAATTGACACTTTATTGAAATTTTTTTACTAGAAAAGGGAAGTGGACAAATATTGTGGGACGACCCAAAAAGGAATATTGGACGAATACTCAGGGACGGAGGGAGTAATAATTTATTTTTCCTTTCCACTGCTTTGTAAGATATACCTCTTGACTGGGTTTTCTTTAACAATCCATAACACAATTACTCTAACAATGAAAGCTATTACTTCGAGAGTGAAGCATCATTCAAAAGTTAAGGCATGGTGGTAATTTGTTTTTAGTGTAAACTTCTAAATATCTGCCTCAAAGGATGATGTCTAATTCTCTACTTTTTGTTTGTCACCATTACCCGGATGATTTTGAATTTACACTTTTTTCATATCTTTATTAATACGGAGTATATAAATATGTCCTTGGTTTTACACATTTATGACACATTGACCAATGGATGTTTTCTTTTCTGCTTGCTCTTTAGCATGCCCTCATACTATTCATTTCTTTTGTGTAGCAATGAAGTTATTTATAGTGTCTATAATCTCTTTTAGGTTATCAAAATTGGGAAAGAAAGATATACTGTTGGGGAGGCCTTCTTCCAGCCCTCTATTTTGGGATTAGGAACACATGGAATTGTCGAGCAACTTGTTCATAGCATTTCAACGGTATCTTCTGAGCACCACCGCCAACTGCTAGAAAACACTGTGCTTTGTGGGGGCACTGCTTCAATGGCTGGTGGGTTCCCTTTCTCATTCAATGCACTTATTCAAGTTTTCACTCTCTGGATAGCTTACTTTTAGTTCCCTATAGTCCCCCCCTCCAATTTTTACTCGTTCATTGCGCGCGTGTTATTGTTTTGGGGTTAAGTGTTGTAGGGTTTGAAGATCGATTCCAGAAAGAAGCTAACCTTTGCTCATCGGCTATCAGCCCCTCTTTAGTAAAGGTAGTCTTGTGATGTTAAAATGCATTGTGGTTTTAAGTGTTTTCTGTAGCCAATATCCCCACCTAACATTGGTGTATTGTGATTGGGTTGTCATCACATCATGATATATTTTTTATGCAATTATCATATCAGCACCTTTAGCATCCTCTTTAATCATCATCATCATCATCATCATCATGGCGTGCTTAAGATTTTGCTCTCGGTATTGCAGCCACCAGAGTACATGCCAGAGAACTTGAATATGTATTCGGCATGGGTGGGTGGTGCGATACTCGCAAAGGTTGTCTTCCCTCAAAACCAACACATCACCAAGGCGGACTATGACGAAAGTGGACCTTCCATTGTTCACAAGAAATGTTTTTAGGGAATATATATATATACACTGACTTGTGTAACATAGTTTGTTATGAGGCTGAAACCAAATGTGATCTTGATCAACGTACGGACCACTGCAGAGTACTGTAGTATTATTTATTTCCTTAATATAAATCTTCAATGTTGTAGCTTGTTGTAGCTTATACTGATGTTTAAATGATACTCGCAGAAGTTATTGCCTCTGAAATGATCTATTGCATTGATGCTTTTCATAAGTGAAGAGGCACTGTTATGCTGAAATGGTTCCTCGCTTTGTTAACTTTTAAGTGTGCTTCTTGTTTTTTTTGTTTAAATTGAAGAGAAAAAAAGAATGAAAGAACATGAACATTTGGAAGGTTCCAAGGGGATTTGGATATAAAAAGGTAAAAAAGCCTTAGATACACCAATCTCCCACTCTTCATGTTGTACTTGGAGGGCCTTTTAATCATGGGATGAGGTAGAATTATGGAATAGAAAAATTAATGACACGCTTATTACTTAAGCTTTGTTCATTTGGGTTGGAAAAATTAGCTTTTACGGAGTAATTTTTTCCAACTTATTTTAATTTCTTCTAACACTTTTCAGTTGCTTCCAATTTTTTCTAATCTTTTTCAACTCATAGTTTCTTTCAACAACTAAAAAAAGCATTTACATATGATAAATATACAATAACATCATATATTTAAATTTAGGAAAAATTTAAACGAATACTCCTAGAAATTTGTGATTTTAGGTTAATACTCTGAAATTCAATAATTTACACTACTCTAGGAAATTGGTCAATTTTATACCAATAATGCGGGCTGCCAACTATGTAGAATATGTGCCATTTTTAAAAAAGAGAGTTTTTAAATTATTAAGTATGTGTTGGTAACTACGGAGTGTTAAAAAAAATAAAAGAAATAATATTTCACATAAAATAAAGAATGTGGAGTAGATATTTCATAATCAAATTTATATTCGCAGGAAAGATCTATGAAACATAAATTTAACGCTATATCAACTTTAAAATTATCTAATATTTTATCTGAAACATTATTTATAATTTACCCAATTAAAATACAACAACATCCCAGTTGAATCCCACTACAGTAGGGTCTGGGGAGGGTGTGTGTACGCAGACCTTGCCCCTACTCGGAAGTAGGGAGGCTGTTTCCAAGAGACCCCCGGCTCAACCTGCACAAAATTAATTTACCCAATTAAAATATAAACACTTTATTTTACATTTTGAACACATTTTTATTTTAAATTGACATGTAGGGGTAATTATAACGCATTCAAGATATTTTCTTTATTTTTTGTAATTAATTACCAATTCATACTTAATAATTGGTCAGTCACCAATTCACCATTTAAAGTGTCATATATTAGCAGCTTAGAATATTGGTGTAAAATTGAGTAATTTCTAGGAGTAGTGTGAATTATTAAATTTCAGAGTATTAGCGTAAAATCACAAATTTCTTGGAGTATTCATGTGAATTTTTTCTTAAATTTATAACATACCATATCAAGCGCGGAGAAAGATGATTTTTTTTTGTTCAAAACTAGTTTTCTTACATATTTATTTAGGTGATTATTTAATTGAATGATATTTTTAACACTATATTTTTAACATTTGTCAACTTCTTCTAATTTTTCTAAGTCCATCTGGATTCATTAAATTCTTTCCAGTCCTGCTAACTTGTTCTTACATCTAACTCTGTTTTTACAATGTAAACTAACACAACCTTAGTGATGATGCTATTATCTTCACTAATGGTTGCTCCAAATTGGAAGCCAGTATAAAAATGCTACTCGGGATATTATTTACAAGGAGAAAACAACACTCCACTACTACCTTTTGGATTTTGAAGAAGTTATGAACCTAAGAAAGAGAAGTCCTCATCATCGGAAAATCATTTGAAGTTAATCACTAAAAAAACCTCCAAACTTCATTCGGCTTTTGAGAGTAGTCAAGCAAGAATGGAAATTGCCATTCCTAATTTTCACAATCAATTCACCAAGCTTGATTTTTTGGTGGATGATCAAGTGAGAAAAAAAATGAACTAACCGATGGAAGCATTGGAGGACTATTTATACAGTACATCCAGATGTACAGTTATTTTCATACATCCACATGAATATTCATTTTCGATTAATAAAGTACTCATTCTCAAATAGCGGAATGCTCATTTTCGAGCATAACTGAGTTCAAGAAAAACTAGTATACAATTATTCAAGAATGAGTATTTATTTGCTCGAAAATAAGTGTTCAATTACTCGTAAATGAGTACTCACTGCGGATGTACGAGAAATACCGTACAACCGGTTGGAGGGTATATATTGCGGCATTGGAGCAATATACAAAAATCTCCTTCACAATTTCGAAGAGCAAATTGGTCAACTAATTGCGACTTTGGGAGGATTAGTACATGAGAGCAAAGTCGACTTCTTAGCATTACGTAGAATCCATCAGGGCTTCAAACCGGGGCACTGGAAATACTCGTGAAGCCTCAGGGCTTCAAACCGGGGCTTCAAACCTTTTCTCTGCCACATCAGCTTTAACTTACCTTACAGTTTTAGTGGAAATAAGTTTGAAGCCCTGAGGCTTCAAACCTTCATTTTTAATATTTTAAATATGCATCTTCTAAAATTAAAGTAATAAAATATAATTATTTAATTATTTAAAATAATCGAAAGGAGAATAGTTCATTAAAAAAAATTACATTCATTAAAAAAATAAATTACATCCATAAAAAAGTACATTCATTAAAAAATTACATTCATTAAAAAATAGTACATCCATAAAAAAATACATTCATTAAAAAAAATTTACATTCATTTAAAAAAATATTACATCCATAAAAAAACAACACTACGAACAAATTACTTATTATTTGAGCGACCGAAGATATATTCAATGAAATCCGCCGTTAGTGCATTGTGAATCTCTCGGGTGCGAATTTCTTGGGGGTTTCTTCGTTTCTTTTCTTCTTCGATTTCTTCGTACATAGGCACCTTCTCGTCTGGGTTGTATTGACAAATCACAAACCCGTTGTCCTCTACGATCATATTATGAAGAATAATACATGCGTACATGATATTCCTCATTTTTGTTTGAGAAAAACATTTGGACGGATGAAGATCTAGAATGTTCCACTTAGTCTTCAAGACCCCGCAGGCTCCTTCAATATCTTTTCTCGCCGCCTCATGAGTTTTTTTAGGTCTGATGTTTAAGACCCATTAGTTCGGAGAGGAACTTGACAATCGTGGAATAATTTGGATATATTCCATCGGCCAAATAATATCCTCGCTTGTAAAGTGTTCCTCTAAGCTCAAAAGATGAGTCGGGTGCGGTCTCATTAATCCAATCGTTAAAAATAGGCAATTGATCGAGAACGCTGATGTCATTGTTCGAGCCCGCGACACCGAAAAAAACATGCCAACACCACAAGTCATTTGAAGCAACAACTTCGATCATTTGAAGTCATTGTTCTTGGCACCAAATCACAGCATAGTATTCAAAAAATAGATATTGTTCCAAATTGGTTCATCACCCACTACAATCTGCAAGGTAATCCATTAAGCGCATTAGCCACCTGCCCATCAATTGCCTCTGCATTTTTATTGGTACCAAGGATTTTTTCACGATATTTTTTCTACAACATCAATTGATTTGGCTAGCCGCAACTTATTGCCGTGATTACCCTTGTCGCACGACTATTGGATAAATATGGCCTCCATTATTGCGATGAATGGTGTGTTGGATAAACTTATCGATATGCTAGGGAATGTTCTCTGTGGAAAAATTGAATTTGATGAAGGAATATGTGCAGTTCAAGATTTTGTTGATGAAATTATAAAGAAACTTCAGGCATTCCGTCAAATTGAAGGTCAACTGAAATATGATTTCGAGGTATATGCATTCGCCGTAGAGGCCTATTGCTCACTACAGGATTTTGTTCGTGACCTCCCAATTATGCCAAGCCTTATTCGTATAGAGTTATACATTTTCATAACAACCATGATGCACACTATAAGGAAACTCATCGGTACTCCACTAGATTCGACCCCTACAATACCTATGCAGAACACAACTTTGTAAGACCAGGAATTTGAAAAGGAAATTTTTATTGATCCTATTAGTGTTCCCGATGATGATCTTATTATTGATCTCATAGATGTTGTTCCTATTACTGTTGCTGATGTTGTTGATGATGATTCTGGTGACGATCAACGACACCATACTGTCCAAGTAAAATATTCAAGAGATGGTGTCATTTTTTATGGATGCACAAAAGTATTTGGGACGTCAGAAAGTGACGTTGTTGTCCTTTATGATTCTGGGGATGTCCTGCGTGCTGACATGGTTTTCTTCTTATTGGTTCTATGGAGTTGTTTGCTTGGAGTTGTGAATGCTTTGAGCTTGACCGAATCTTTTGATGCTCCATTCATAAAGGTCTTTGACCCCGGAGGATGTCCATTCACAACACATGATTCCTCGTTTTTCCTAGATTTCTAACTTGAGGACAAGTTGGTTTTCGAGGCGGGAAGAGTTTTTGGGACAACTATTATTATTATTAGGAAAAATTATCTCAAATAATCTCACCTTTTCGCGCTCTTTCAAAAATAATCCCACTTTTCACTGTCACCGAAAATAATCCCACCTTTTCGCATGTGTGTGAGTTTTGGGTCACCGTTAAAAAACTAACGGTCACTTAACGGAAATTTTGAAAAATGCCCGTTTTTCGCAAATAAATGAAAGGTGGGATTATTTTAGGTAAATTCTCTCTTTTTCGTTTTTTAATTTCTTTAAATGTATTTTTATTTTATTTTTTTTGGAAAAAATACCAAATTTAAGTGTTTTTAGAGTGAAACTAATTGTTTTTTTCAATAACCAATAATATGGTAATAATTAGAAAATAAATTATTCTACACAATAGAGCTAATTTATTATATTCATAACTAACTACTCCCTCCGTTTGGAAAAAGTGTTCCTCTTTTGACTTTGTGTAAAAAATAAGGTAGTATTAAATTGTAGTTGACTTCCAATTTTGCCCTTGATGTGATAGGTAAAAGTAAGATGTGATGAATAGATTATTAGAGATAAAGTATGATGTGATAGGTAGGGTATGAAAAAGTAAGGGTAAAAGTGGTTTTTTAATAGAAAGTGGAAGTATTTTGTTGGAAGGAAAAAAATGAAAGAGGAAGTGTTTTTGATAACGGAGGGAGTACATTT